CCTCCTCCTCCCCCTCCTCCCTCCTCCTCCTCCTCCCCGCTCCTCCCCGATCCTCCCCTGGCGCCAGCGGGGGGGCGAGGCCCCGGGGCCTCCAGCACGCGAGCGCTGTTCGGCGGCGTGCGCCGGCGCGGCGTGCCTGGCGGCGTGCGCGCCCGCGGCTCCTCGGCCGGCGCGTCGGCCTGCGGGGGCTCGGCCTGCTGGCCATCGCTCGGACGTCCATTCCCTGTGTTTTTTGTCGGTTTCGTGCGTGGTTTTTTTCGTCAGATGATCAAGGATGCTCCTCGATGGTCCTCGCCGAAAAAAGAATGCACACGACCGAGCGATGCCAGGCCTGTGCGCGGCGGGCGCGCAGCATCGCGGCCATCTCGCCCCGCAGCTCCTGGGGAGCGCCGCGCCGTCGTCGTCGTCGTCGTCGTCGTCGTCGTCGTCGTCGTCGTCGTCGTCGTCGTCGTCGTCGTCGCCGCGTCGTCGTCGTCGTCGTCGTCTTCGATCCTCCTCCCTCCTCGTGCGCCGTGTCCCTCGTGGGCCCGCGCGCGGAGTTCTCGGGTCGGCGCTGGGCCCGCCCTGCCGACTTGCAGTGTACGGCGTTGTTGTTGCTGATCGGGAAGCGGCCAAGAGGGGGGTGTCCAAGAGCGGGGGGGTGCAACCTCCTCCTCCTCCTCCTCCTCCTCCTCCTCCTCCTCCTCCTCCTCCTCCTCCTCCTCCCCCTCCTCCTCCCCCTCCTCCTCCTCCTCATCATAACCGGCGGCATGTGCGCGGCCCAGGGGGGGGGCCAGGGGCGTAATGAAATAAGAAGAGGCGCCATACAATCTGGGGAAACATCACGGCCCCCCCCCGCCGTGATATCCCTCCCCCCCTAGTCATCACCCCCCTCTTTGCCGCCCCCGCGCTGAGCTCCTCGCTGGAGGTTGGCCGGGGCCGGTGATGGTGTGTAGCCCCACAGGCCTCGGGCGGCGGAGCCCGACAGCCAGACTCGATTCGCAGCACTCGTAGTGACGGCGGGGGGCGTGCGTGTGCGCTTCACTGATGGTCAGATGTCATCGGCCTAAGGGTTATCTTAGTCATGCGGTAGCTTCCATTAGCTTCTGTTAGCTTCTGCTAGATGTTAGCTTCTGCTAGATCATGCCACGCCCGCCTATTCTTCATTCCGCTATGCGCCGATGCATCCAGCCCTAAGGCGCATCGGGGGGGGGGGGGGGGCGCTCCGGGACGCCCCGCCCCCCCCAACCGGACCCCCCAAAAAAACGCGGGGCAGGTGCGCAATCACCGCGCTCGAGCGCGCTGCTGGCAGAAACATTTTGGCCCAGGGCGCGAAAGCGACGAGGCCAGACCAAGGTTAGCTGAGCTCTCCAGGGGTCATTGCCAAGCTGAAAACATCGTCTCGTTTCCTTGAATGTACGGCGGTCTTCTGTCGAACCCCATCGCCGTACATGTTCTCCGAAGCGAGACACGCACAGCACGTCCAATGACGGCATGTAACAAACGGCCGGTCACCCAGACCATGGCAGTTCTTGCAGGACAGAAGCGGCCAGTCACGCAGAAAATGGCAGTTGAGTAAAAGACAGCTCTAGCAACCTTGGACCAGAAAATCAGCTTACAAGACAGAAGCGGCTGGTCGCATAGACAATGGCACGGTGGGGGCATTGGATAAGGAACCCTTAGACAAGGAATCCAGGGTCTGGAAGCCCGCGGAACTCCAATCTAGGAGTGGCCATGAGTATCACCGCCGCCCTCATCAGAGAAGGAATCCTCCAGGGTCTGGCGCTTCCTGGGCGCACTCCTGAACCAACGCCCCCACCGGTGGGGACGTTCGTTAAGGAATGTGCACAAGGGGCTTCAGACCCTGGAGGATTCCTTAACCAGACGCCCCCACCGCAGCTCAGTGCAAGACACCCCTGGAACCGCCCACTGTACATTGCATCTCTCCGCTCCGCCTCTGGTCCCACTGTCGACGATGCTCGTCCGATGCTGCACTGCAGGCAGCGTGGCCCAGAGCGCCCCTCGGGGGAGAAACGCGTGGCCTCTTTTCTTGGCGCTCGACAGGGCTGAACCTAAACGGTGTTTTTCGTTTTCGTTTTGTTTTCGTTTTCCCTCGTTTTGTCTTCAATCCACCTCTACCGCAAAACGAAGTCGAAACGAAAACGGCCCACGAAATCGCCAAAACACCGTTTAGGTCCAGCCCTGGCGCTCGAGGCTCGATCCAAAACAAATGCTCGGACGGAACCCGCATTTCCGCTGGTATGTTGTTTCGCAGCCCGCGGCTTTTCCTCGATTTCGGCGGTAGTTGGGGCGATTTCGAACTTCAAGCTCCTCTGACGTCGCTATCCGAATTGCTTTGTCGTCGCTGCTTCCGCCATACCTTTGCGGAGTATCCGCCCGACTGTTCTGCCGCGGAATTCGCCCCCCAATTTTTTCGCATCATTTGGGGCGCGCTTCGGACAAAACGTTAAAGCGGAAAATCAATAAAAGTACGGCTGATCCAGAGTCAGGGAGGCCCATATCTTCGGAGACATGATTTTAACCAGCATTTGTTCCTCGGTTTCGGCCCTTGGGGATCGTTATCGAGCCCGCCCCCTGACTCTGGATCCGCCGTACTTGGATTGATTTTCCGAATCAGGATTTGCACCCCAACGATGCGAACAAACACAACATGTAAATCTTATCATCAGAAAAATCCGCCAACCCTGTTAGCGTGTGGAGAAAGCTCTTCCGTTCGTCGTCTTCGTCTTCGAGGGGCCCGAATCGCCGAACGATCGGTCCAACTGTCGCCGCTCCTTTCCGTTCCCTGAGCCCTCCCTGGGCTCTCCTCCTCAAGAGCGCCAGTCACAACGAAATTGAACAACGTCGCAGTTGAGTCGAACGGCAACCCCTTCCCTTTGATCCCTTCCCCGCCGGGAGGGGTGGGGGGTCCCGGGTCTGTGGGGGGGGGTCACGACCCAGAATACAATCCCCCCTGGCGATCCCCCCCTGGGCTCTCCTCCTCAAGCGCGCCCCCTGGCGATTCCTCCCTGGGCTCTCCTCCTACAGCGCGCCCTTTCCTTTTCCTGGGCCCTCCCTGGGCTCTCCTCCTCAAGCGTGCCAGTCACAACGAAATTGAACAACGTCGTAGTTGAGCCGAAGGGAAGCCCCTTCCCTTTGATCCCTTCCCCGCAAGGAGGGGGGGGTCCCGGGTCTGTGGGTGGGGTCCAGACCCAGAATACCATCCCCCCTTGGCGATCGCTCCCTGGGCTCTTCTCCTCCAGCGCGCCCTTTCCTTTCCCTGGGCCCTCCCTGGGCCCTCCTCCTCAAGCGCGCCAGTCACAACGAAATTGAATAACGTCGTAGTTGAGTCGAAAGGAAGTCCCTTCCCTTTGATCCCTTCCCCGCCGGGAGGGGGGGGGTCCCGGGTCTGTGGGGGGGAATACCATCCCCACCTGGCGAACCCTCCCTGGGCTCTCCTCCTCAAGCGCGCCAGTCACAACGAAATTGGACAACGTCATAGTTGAGTCGAAGGGAAGCCCCTTCCCTTTGATACCTTCCCCGCCGGGAGGGGGGGGGGGTCCCAGGTCTGTGGGGGGGGGGTCCCGACCCAGAATACCATCCCCCCCTGGCGACCCCTCCCTGGGCTCTCCTCCTCAAGCGCGCCAATCACAACGAAACGGGGGGAGGGGGGGGGGT